TTGGCGAATTGTATCAATGTCTTCTCTATCCAACATTCGGAAAGAGGGAATTATAGAGTTTTAAACCTACAAGAATAATTTTTAAGCATGAAAAAAATAATTAATTCATTGTTTAACTACTCATTTCTCCTCTCTTTCATCCCCTGTATAAATGGCTCAAGTAATCAAAATCTAATGCTTTTTATTGGAATCAAATTTCTCCTATTTTTTATTTACAAAATGTGTTTTATTCTAAACTAAATTATCCTTTCTTGTGATCAGAAGATTCAAAACTCTGCTCTTTCTTGTGATCAGAACTCTTGCAACTTTGAGATCCAAAATCCAAAGCTTCCTACAGCCTGCTAAATGTTTTTGAAGATTTCAGTGCTTCTTCTTTTGTTCAATCGAGTTCACAATGGAGTTCAGTATAATATGCTTTGATGAACATGTCGCTAGACAATGTTCAACTATCTGTGTTGCTTATTCCTTGTTTATTTGACCTCTGTAGGATTTTTTATGGATGTATTAAAAGTGAATCTGTATGATTTGCAACTTCATTTATTTCATTATTTTATTTCTGTCTTCATATAAATACATTTCAAACTATATATTAAAGTTTGTTAATATGGGGATCATCAGTAAATACTAAATTGACAAGGTTTGATATCCACCCCCATTACTACGAACCATTAGCCCTTCTTTCTGCTAAGCCATTATAATGCAATACCTAGGCCTTACAAAAAAAAATAAAAGGTGTCAATTGATGTATCATTTTATGCACTGCATAACTAATAAATTAATAAACTACTTAGTTTCATGTGTTGTCTTGATATTCAACCTATACTACATTTTTAACAAATCTCTAAAGTAAAACTGCTTTCATCTTGTATTGTGTGCACAAATATATTTAAGTCAGACACGTGAATTGTATCCTACTTGTATATTTACAGAACAGCAATCAGAAATGGAAACAAAAAGCCATTTGCTAATACATCATATTTAAGGAAGTCTAGGAAATCAAATACCTCCTTTTCAATATAAAATTTCAAAAAGCACTACCTTTTGCACCCTGCAGCAACATAGGTATACGTGAGAATTTAAGCAAACAAGGATGCAATTGGTAAAATTCTTTTAACCCAAACCTATTTACCGCCAGAACCATGAGTAGCTGGAAACAATCTTGTATCATCAAAGTGGAATCTTTGAGATTCTTCTTACTCACTAGCTACAAATGTCGAGAGCCCCATCAAAATTGACAATAAAGTATGGTTATTGAAAACATTTATTGTTTACATAAAAACAATAGAGTTAATTTCGATAAATTTTTGGATAACCATTTATAAGAAAAAATAAATAAATTATACTTAGTTAAACTTATTCACGTCTATTTAACTATCAAGTGTGTGGATCAGCTAATATGGATTATTTCAGTTTAGTCAATGATGTCAAGTTTGAATCGTGAGTTTATAATTGTCTTGAATATTTAGAGGAACAACTTTATCACCTATTTGATTCAAATAATATTACATCAAGTAAAAGACACATATGATATAGACTAAAAAAATACACATCTACTAATGAATATGTTAAAATAGAGTTACTAAAAAGATTGAGTTGCATAAATTGATTTTGATTGATGAAATTTGTTTTTTTTTTTTTCATTTTCTTTTGGTGTAAATATTTACCGAGAAATTTATCTAAACTTATTATAAAGAATGATAAAGTTTTGAAAAGATATTTCTGTGTTTGCTATATAACACCGACATGACATAATTTAAGATGTCACCTAGCTCACTATTTATAGCCAATTTCTTAGATTCAGAAGTTCAACATTTTAGGCACAAACCATGGAAGATTCCCCCCACAACACAACATGTGTTACGTTTCTGATGGATTATTTTATGATATTTATTTGAGAAGATATTTTATAAGACTTATCTTTAATCAGATGAACATAATCTAATTTTATTCATGAGTCTTTATTTATAGAGAAAATTTGTTATACAAAATCAAATATTGATATTATCCTATTCTAAAAATAAGGAAACAAATCTTAAAATAATTAAAACAGATTAAATCTAAATATTTAAAATATAAATAAAATATTCTTATCAAAATCTAATTTATTTTCCTAAAGATATTTAGGCATATTCTCAACACTTCTCCTTAACAGAATATCTTTATTACCTAATTTAAATTTGAATTTCAAAATATGTCTTTTCTCTTTTTGATTAGTTTCTTCTTTTTGTGATTTTTGTTTTAATTCTTCTTGAGTAGGACCACTTTAACATTTGTCTTGAACTTCTCTTTTGAAGGTAGTTTTTCATCATCATTCTCCTCTTGATCATCAAACTTCTTTTGAAGACATGCATCTTTGTGCTCTTCACTTGTATTTTCATTTATAATTGGCTTCTCCTTCTCCAAATTTAAAGCAAAACTTTTGCCTTTCATATGAACATTGAACACTTCTTTGTTGTGTATATCTTTAATCACACAATTTTTATCTTCAAATAACACTTTATAGCCTTTTCCTAATAATTGAGAAACACTCAACAAATTTTGGTTAATATCAAGAACGTATAAAATATCAGATATTAATTTAAAACATGAATGACTCTTAGTAGCAAGTATTCCTTTGACTTTTACTGCAAGGTGTGCTTCATTCCCCATTTGAACTTTAGAGATATCAGTTTTATTGAGTTCTTTGAAGAGTTCTCGATCATAAGTCATATGATTTGTACAACCACTAGCAATAATCCAAGCTTTTGAGGGTTTTTTGGTCATAAAGCATGACATTGAAAGTAGTTCTTCTTCTTCCTCTTCTTGATGATCTTCAACAATGTTGGCTTCTTCTTGTTGCTCATGAGATTTGCATACATGTTTTAGGTGTCCTAATTTTTCGCAATTGTCACATTCTACATCAGGTCTCCATCAACATCTCTATTGTGGATGATTAGTCTTTTTGCAATAAGGACATGGTGGAAAAATTTGAGTGTTATTATATTGACTGTTCTCTTGAAACAATTCCTTCTTCTTGTTTTTGCCACTATTTTGGCTAAATATACCCCCTCCATAGATCCTTCTTCTCTCATAAGCCTCATTTGTTCTAATGCTTGCAATGCATGTAACACCTCTGCCAAAGTGATCTTACTCAGATCCTTTATGTTCTCCAAAGCCGCTATTGAAGCTTCATATCTTTCAGGTATAGTTACTAGAATTTTTTCAACAATTCTAGAATCAAGAAATTGCGTTCCTAGTAATCGTACCTTATTAGCAATGCCAAGCAATTTGTTATTAGCAATGCAAGCAATTTGTCTGATTATTGTTTGATTGTCTCAGTCTCCTTCATTCTTTGTATTTCAAATTCTCTCATTAAATTTAATACTTGCATGCTTCGAATCCTTTCATCTCCAGCATATTATTCCTTTAGATAATCCCAAATTATTTTTGCCGATTTGAGAGTCATAATCCTGGTGAAAACATTTTGTGAAACACAGGCAAAGAGACAACTTTTTGCCTTTGCCTTCTTGATTTTCTTTTCTTTGTGAATTTTCATTTGGGCTACGGTAGGATTGTTTGGCAACGCGGAAACATCATAATCTTCTTCTACAGCTTCCCAGAGATCTAAACCTTCTAGGTATGCCTCCATTCTCACCGCCCAAAGATCATAACTTTCTCCATCAAAAATAGGTGGGAAAATTTGTGAAAAGTTTGTTTCTGCTTCCATCTCCAAGATCGTAACCTTAGCTCTAGATACCACCGATGAGGTTATTTTATGATATTTGTTTGAGAGAATATTTTATAAGACTTATTTTTTATCAGAAGAGCATACTCTAATTTTATTCATGAGTCTCTATTTATAGAGAAAATTTGTTATACAAAATCAAATATTGATATTATCCTATTCTAAAAATAAGGAAACAAATCCTAAAATAATTAAAACAGATTAAATCTAAATATTTAAAATATAAATAAAATATTCTTATTAAAATCTAATTTATTCTCCTAAAGATATTTAGGCATATTTCCAACGGTTTCAATATCCAATGTTGGAAGATAACCCACCTATGAAGTTGCCACTGCTCATGATTTTGATTTAAGGGCATAAGAGTAAGAGAGGACAAAATAAAAGTATTCATAGCTGCCTGCTCTTTAGTAATTAGGCCCTCGATTGGGGGGAATGTCGACTTGGAGATAAAAGGCGCCAATACTTAATAGTATGGAGAGTTGAATTCAGACTTATGATTAACCAAGAATGAAGGTTATGTATGTGAAATCCATCAAATATTAATACATACAAATATATAGAATAACAAAGGTATTAAACTTTTAATCACATTTTCAGGTATGGGAATACGTTTATGCTTATTCAGCATCCTTTGTAGTTCACATTTTCTAATCAAGATGTCCAATAATATTTGAAATATGCTCTGCTTTACCTTGATTGTTTCATATTGAAGAAAATGTTTGGGATGAAAAATAGGTTACCTTGAGATGCTCCAGCAGCTCCACCCTTTCATTTACAAGTGAAACTTCCACTACCACTAAAAATTGTACACTGGTTACAAACTAACATGGCTGATCTTGCTAATTGCTAATGCTCAAGTTAAGTTGTTCTGATCGGAACTGGAAATTTTGATTGATGTTGTAATGTTACAAACTACCTTGAGATGTTGTAATGTTGTATTTATTTACTCTCTGAATGTTTGCTCCTGGTTCATTGTTTTTTACTTGCCCCATATGCTGGAGTAGACACATTGTTTAATACTATTACTGTTAGTAGTTTTTGGTTTTATTTATATGGTTCATAATATGAACTGTGCACTGCTTCTATGTGCTTTAATAATGAAATATGTAGCTGAAACAATTGTCACTTTTTGGCACATGCCGGGCTTATCCACCTAATGAACCCAACACAGGTTGTAATGCACTCAATCCTTTGGAATTATCTTCACCTGAGCGATACCACTCACTCATAAAACTCACTTGGCTTGAATCAATATATTTCATTCAGAGACAACTAAGCACAAATAAACTCTTGATTAACAAAAAAATGTTTCTAAATTTCCGAACAATATTATAAATTCATATCTGATAAAAAAAATCATCTATTACTGACAAAACTTATACTATTTACATCTCGTAGTTTTGCCTAGAGAAAAATCATGAAGCACAGAAAATTATATAACCATCACACAACAAAATTCCTGCAATCCATATGCAACGCAAGCTTATATTAAAGCTGTTGTTAATGAAAAACAATCCCCAACAAAATCCCCCATCAGAGTCGCCTATAACCAAGTACATTGATGAATGGATATTGCTGTTGTGATTTTCATTCCACGGCAACTTTAAGCTTCCCCCACAGGACCATGATAAATTCTGCTTAATAAATGCAATGTACTAGAACATATTCCTGAATGCTTTGGCGAAACATAATCACTGGCTTCAATCAGTACATATATATAGGCTTTCGTTGCAAAACTCTAGGCTTCTCATAGTAAGCCTTGTGCCTCAAAGTCCCTTGCCACTGAAAAAGAAAAAAAAAAAAAAAAAAAAAAAAAAAAAAAAAAAACCAATGTTAACGTGACACGATAGCATGGATGGTAATTAAAGAAGAGGAAGATAGAAATTGGAACAAACGGAAATAAGATGTCTAATGCGCAAACATAGCAGTCAAACCAGTGTCACCAAATTCTTCTCAAAGTTTAATTACTTGATATCTTATCAGCTACGAAAATTTAATCGAATACGACAGATATTAATTATTGGTTGTATAACATTTGTGACATTTGAGGAAGCTTCGCTTAACTAGTTGGTCCACCACGAAATTTACTCTTGCTTCTAATTACTTGCTCCTCCTCACAAGAAAACATTTTTCTATGAATGATAATTCATGCATAGTAGTAGACTAGTTGAATTGTAGTTGGAAAACTAAGTTTTGTTCCTAAAGAAAAGTAACTTTCTTTCACTTCTAACGAAACATCGTGATCAAATTTAAACACAATAATTCAAACATAATTTTGACAAATATGAATAAAACGAAGTTAACGCTCTCCAAACTATATTTGGGGTTTGGGGGTACAATCTATAATTCAAATGTACTAAGCAAGTGAGCATTCAGACGAAAGAAAATCAGCAAAAAGGAAGAAAAGGGAAAAATAAAACTCACCCTTTGACATGGGAAGAACCAAAACAACCCGCATGGTCACAGTGTTTGGAGGAAGCTGCAAGCGAAGTGGATAAAGCTTTCTATTCAAAGGACTCCGATTACACACAATGATTCCCTCTAACCCTGTCTCTTCCTCAAACTTTCGAGTCAAATCTTCAACTCCATTTCCTTTGAAAATCAAAGAATACCCCTGCACATCTTCATCCAGAACCTCTCCATTGTCTTCAGCAATATGGTAGTATATAGTTCGCCCCTCCGCCTTCGGTGATTCATTCGTCTGCAAACAAAACCAAACACAATCATCACCCACAACACAGAGAATAAAAGGTAACATAAAGTGACAACTTATGTTATTTTTAATCCTAAAAGGAAAACCGCTAACAAATATTATAACAAATGCATCAACCAGCTCCATTAATGATTTCCAATACACCCAACCTTAATTTCCATTAAAAACAAGTAATTTATTTATCCACTCCTTGGCCAATACTCGTAAACACCCGTTATATAACAATATCCTTATAAAAACCACGCATTTATACAAATGGGTCCCGCAAAAAGATGTTCAACACAACACAACCAAACTTATCCTACCAAATTTTAAACTTGTAAACAATTTCCTTCCTTAAATGGATTAATTAGTTACTCTCATCTGCTGAATCATTTTCGGTATTGTTCCTCATCAATATATTTAGTAAAAAAAAGTTTATCACGCGGATCAACGTTTTAAAATATGATCTGCTACCGCGATTTGAATCATAATGGCAAGGATTTTGGATTCCCAGAAACCACATCACAAAAATGCAGTCACTTCAGCTCCAAAAGCACTTCTAGGTTGAAAAAATGAAACAAACTTCTCAGTAAGTTAAAATTAGCTTATCCAGAAGTTTCTCTGCAACCTAAAACTAATTAACTCTACCCAGAAAGTTATTACAAATTAACTCATGTGTAAGCTAATTTTAGTTCATGAAGAAGCCAGTTTCATTTTTTCTCCTAAAAATACTTCTGTTGGAAGTTTATTCAAACAAACAGACTCTATCTTATCATCATCTTAATTCCTAAAGCAAAGCAACCCAGATAAAAATATAAAACCTTTTTCAAAACCCACATACCTGTTGCCTTGAAAAGCTAGCAGACACGGTGGGCGGCGACGGCGCGGTGGTCAATGTGTGAACAGAGTCCGTGACAGGCAAGGGTGGAGCAGAGGGTCTATTCCCATGAGCCGGCGAGTCCACATAAATCTCAACAACATCAACGTCCCAGAGGATCCAATCCTGCGTGACGGTCCTGTGCGGGATATCGTGCGTGACGGAGTTTCTCCACGGCGGCAATCCGCCGTTGGCGCGGAGGAAGTTGCCGTAGCGGGTCTTGAGCTTGACGCGGCCTCCGTCCTTGACGGGCTCCCACTCGACGGAGGAGTCGAGGCGCGGCGGGAGCGTCTGGAGCACCTTGTGGCCCGTCATGCCGAGGAGGAAGAGTTGGTTGGAGGCGGTGAGGTACTTGCCGTAGCAGCTCTTCAGACGAATTATGTTTTCGTACTCCGGCACGTACTCCACAAGCCACCGCGCGCTCTTGGAGGAGCCGCTCCGGTCTTGCGTGACGGACTCCTCGTCGTCCTCCGCGAGGAGGTACTTGTCATGGTGGCTCCGGAGGCGCACCGCCTTGGCGCGGTGGAAGAAGTCCATGCCGGTGCGGAACTTGTTGGAGCTTAACGTCTGCATGTGTGGAATAATATGAGAAGATGTGTATGTTTGTTGTTTGTTAAGTGCAGAAGAAATGAATGGGTATTTATATGTGTACGTGAAGGAGGGCCATTGTGAAATTAAATTATTATGGTTTGAAAGTTATAATGTTGGGGGTTGGGTAAGAGTTAGTGTGCGTGACCGGTGACCGGTTGTTTGTGCTGTGGGAGGTGAAAAATGGGGAGAGGCAGTCAGCAGTGGCGACTTGGGGACAACGCGTTTGGCTGCACGCGTTCATGTCTTGCTTTTCATCAGTTACGTGTTGGGTGCTTCTAAGTTCTAAGGGATTAGGTTAGATGGAAAAAGAGGTGAAGGTGGGATCATGGACATTTAACGTTCACATGTGGGTTTACGACTTTAGGGGAATGCTTCATCAGTTAAGTTTCATATCATCAAAATGAAAATGAAATGACACGACTCGCAATTATTGTCGTCATCAATCGAGCCGACTTAGTAGCCTTCACTTTTTTTTTTCAGAAATACTTTAAAAATATTGTTTTGACAATACATCAAATTTAAATTACTAAGTATAAGACAAACTTTTTCCAAAATGTAATTTAGAGATTTTCGAACATAGACCAAGCATATCTAAATTGTGGCTTTGATTAAATAAATTGACTTACATTGAGCATAAAACTGAAAGTTTGGTTTTGATTCATCCTAAAAAAATGTTCTTTCACGCACAACTTTCCCCCGCAACGTGTGCACATCAAAATTTGTAACAGCCCAATCCAGCTAATCATTTTACCACTGGAGATAGGTTGAATTGCTGACTCAGCCCAATTAAATAAAGATTCATAACCAATCACTGGGTATTGGATATACCATGGCAACTGGGTTGAATTGATGACTCAGCCCAATTCAATAAAGAGTCACAATCAGTCACTGGATATTGGATATACTCGGCATCCTATGGATGCGTGATTGGGGATACCAAAGAAAATAACAAAAAAGAATCAACACGGTCTTTTACTAGAAGGCACCTCTCGCAGACTCAATCTAAAAACAAGAAATTAATAAATAAATAAAGCATAAAGGAAGATAGACCAATAGAAGAAGGAAGACAAAAAAAAAAAAAAATTTGTGGGGTGGAAGTTGTGGAGATTCGCATAGAGACAAAAGCCACTCAAAAGTATGAAATAACGTCTACACAAGATGTCTTGGACATATGGACAATGGTGTATTGAATTGATTTCATGTATAAATAAGTAAAATGTTAAGTTGTATATTCTTCATTTTCTACTCTCAATTACTATTAAAAACTCACCATAAAATATCCACATTTGGCTCCAGTCCTTATCAAGTCAGATAAAATGAATATGCACTTCCAACCCCCTTCCCCCACGCGCATGAATATGCTCTAATCCTCGGACAAAATCATTAAATCGCATGAAAAAGTCTCTTTTCTCTATTTCTATATATTTAATATTTTGCTAACCATCTTATCGGTAAAGTATTAAGTAATTTTTATCATACATCTCATTTTTTAAACTCATTTCTGTCTCATTTTCACTTTTTTATCTTTCTTAATATTTTTATTATATCATATAGCACATTTATCACTTTCTTTTTCTGTTTTTTTTTTCTCTATATCTCGCGTATTTTCATCTCAATCCATTTCAAAAAGATTTATACTCATTCCATTATAAATTGGATTGAGACGGGAAAAAAAAATATAAAAAGATAGAGAGAAAAAGTGATATATGTAATATATGATATGAAATAAGATATAAAAAAATAGTAAAAAAAATTATGAGATGGTGATGAGTTAGAAAAAGAGATATTCCATAAAAGTTATTCAATATCCTACTACTCTCACCCATACATGTTTTCATGTATATTAATTATCTTGACGTAGACGTATAACTCCTAATAAGAATAAGCAGCCTATCGACATCTTTAATCAATGTTATTATACTCATACATAGTACGTTTCCAAGTTACTAAATCACTTCGCAAGTTATTAATTAATTAGAAACACACAACCATCCAATGACCTCATTTCAAGTTGAACTTTGTTTTTTTGTTGGATCAGAAGTTCAAATGTATGCACTCTGATCTTAAGAACAAAAAAGAAAAAAGAAAAGACTGGGGACGTTGGAGAAATAAATTGACTGCGGGAATAGTATTGTACTCTTCTACACCAAGAAAATATAGCACCAACAAGTCAACAACTTTGCGATATGCTAAGGATCAATTTTAAATAAACTTTTATAAAGAAAGATAGGGGAATCAAATCAGTTATCAAGCACACCTTGATTTATGAAATATTTTGGGAAATTAAGTAATTTCTGTTTAATTAATTTGTTATATAAATAAATTATTACGAGAATTAAAGGTGCATTACGTAATTGCAATTATTTCAGTTTCTTCCTCAAAGAAGCTTTATTGTTTTTTGTATTTAAAAAAAAAAAACCCAGCAAAGATCTTGCTACGCACGAGTGACCAATTTTCAGTAGTGGGTTTGGAGTTTGGAATTTGAAATGTGAAAGCATTTGTTTATGAATGAAGTGTGTGATGACATTTTTGTTGGTGGAGAAAAGTTGGTGAAGTCTTGAAGCAAGACATTAGACATAGCGCTTCAAATCCTACCAAGTGGCAATCAATTCATAGTGGACTCCCATGCTCAAATAGGGGAAGTCTAAGAAACACTAGGCCTGTGAACGTCCAAAATTTTCATTGGACTTGTATAAAAAAAAAACCAAATATTTTACTACAAATGAGGCCACATATTTTACTAGAATTTGGAAATTAACTAAATAATCGACTGTTATGTTAAACAAACCATTCTAACTTCTTACTAAAGTTCTTATTAAAATTCTAATGTACTTAAAGATGTGCATTACTATCACGGAATAGGATAGGCAACTTGTCAAGGATATAAAGCTTACGTTGCAGAGATCAGGTCAAATTATTTATTAAATAAGTCAAGACTTTTTTTTTTTAAAAAAAAGCTATTTAATTAAAAAGATATGACTTTAGACTATTCAAATAGGACACTTATTTAGGTAAATAACAATAATGGTAAGAACTATCATTTAATGATCAAAATTTAAAATAAATAAATACATAAAAAGAATATATAATATAATAATTAAAAATTAAATATACGAAGAAAAAAATTTCAAATTAATGAAAAATCGTTTTATCTACAAGCTACTTCAAACCAATGTGTATTTTTACTGCAAAAGGTTTTCTCTAGGATGACACTACAAGTATTGTATTACCCATTATTTTATAATCTTAAAATAAAACAATGCATTTATAAATACATTTTGAAAAGTGCTAAAAACACATTCTTTAAAACTATATTTTAATTGATTAAAATTCATTAAAGAGGTGAAAGAAGTTTATTAAATGAAAAGTGATGCCTATAATTATATTAAAATTAAACTTAAAAACACATTGTTTAGGTATATTTAGCATATGATTAGACTTTTGAATAGAGAGAGGAGGGGAGGCAGAATAATTTTGTTTGTTCTGTAGAACGGGCTTTCAGTTTAGTCAAGGGAATCGAGACCAAATAGTTGTTTTAGAAAAATAAACACCACATTCTACAAGTCATGCAGTTAAATCAAGGTAGTTTTCTACAACAAAATTACTAGGAACTTTCCCTGAAATACAGGAATATTTTCAAATTTAAGTTAAGCTTAAAACTAAAAAAAATTAGAAAATAATATATACGCTTTTTGACAACAACTAATAGTTTATCATATCAAATACTGCTAAATTAAAGTAAAAATGATTTTAAAATAAAGAAAATAACTATAATCTAATAAATTAATTAAAAAAGTACATAATAAATTGTAGAATCTATTAGAAGAAATTAGACTTCTTTTTCAATCAACACAAAATAAAATCAACGCACGAAAACGAGTTTGGAATGGAAAAGTCAATTGAAGAAAACATACCTGCAGCAACAGCTTGGAGTTCCGCCTGGCCGGCGGCGAGCTGAGAGAGAAAACCGACATCGGCGAAGCCGGTTCAGAGTCGACGGAG